GCTACTTCGATCCGCTCCGCAACGAGTACTTCTTCGACCGCAACCGGCCCAGCTTCGACGCCATCCTCTACTACTACCAGTCCGGGGGGCGGCTCCGCCGGCCGGTCCATGTGCCCCTCGACATCTTTCTGGAGGAGATCCGCTTCTACCAGCTGGGCCAAGAGGCCATCGAGACCTTCCGGGAGGATGAGGGCTTCATTCAAGAGGAGGAGAAGCCCTTGCCCCAGCACCACTTCCAGCGCCAGGTCTGGCTGCTCTTTGAGTATCCTGAGAGCTCCGGGCCGGCCCGGGCCATTGCCATCGTCTCCGTGCTGGTCATCCTCATCTCCATCGTCATCTTCTGCCTGGAGACCCTGCCTGAGTTTCGCCAGGAGCCCAAGGGTGCCCAGCCTAGTTTTGGGGAGGCGTCGCCGCCCGGTGACGAGGCCTTGTTGCCACCACCGCCGCCACCAAGCGGGACTCCACCACCCCTGCGCTCTGCCACCGGCGCCGGCCCCTTCTTCACCGACCCCTTCTTCCTCATCGAGACCCTGTGCATCATCTGGTTCTCCTTTGAGCTCCTTGTCCGCTTCTTCGCCTGCCCCAGCAAGCCTGAGTTCTCCCGCAACATCATGAACATCATCGACATTGTGGCCATCATCCCCTACTTCATCACTCTGGGCACCGAGCTGGCCCAGCAACAGCAGCAGAAGCAGCAGCCTGGTAGCAGCAGCAACAACGGGGGCCAGCAGCAAGCCATGTCCCTGGCCATCCTCAGAGTTATCCGTCTGGTCAGAGTCTTCAGGATCTTCAAGCTCTCCAGGCACTCCAAAGGGCTGCAGATCTTGGGGAAGACTCTCCAGGCCAGCATGAGGGAGCTGGGCCTCCTCATCTTCTTCCTCTTCATCGGGGTCATCCTCTTCTCCAGTGCTGTCTACTTTGCAGAGACTGATGACCCTGACTCCCTGTTCACCAGCATCCCTGATGCTTTTTGGTGGGCGGTGGTGTCCATGACCACCGTGGGCTATGGGGACATGTATCCCATGACAATTGGTGGCAAGATTGTGGGCTCCTTGTGTGCCATTGCGGGTGTGCTCACCATTGCCCTCCCTGTCCCTGTCATTGTGTCCAACTTCAACTACTTCTACCACCGAGAGACTGATCATGAAGAGCAGTGCCAGTATACCCATGTCACCTGTGGCCAGCAGCAGTCACCCTTCTCTGAGCCCAAGAAGGGGGACAGTAATCAGTCTCTCAGCAAATCTGAATTCCTGGAAGCAGAAGACCTGGAGTCCATGAAATATTCCAACTTCATTCCTCCCAACAACCAGAGTTATAAAGAGAAGAAAATGCTGACAGAGGTGTGATCAGTTTTGTTATCCTGGGTCCAGACATGGAGCTGCAAGCTGCTGCACAGCCGTCTTCCCACTAGCAGCTGGATCTATTCAGCATTTACATGCCAGACTGTGAATTGTGATACCGTAAACAGAATGATTGTGATAATGGGCTCTTCTGTCCTGATCTGCTGCTTCTCATTGCTGTGTGCAGCCAGAAATGTTCATGCTTTATTCCATGGCGTGCTAGCTGTCATCCCCCACTCCCTCGTGAATTTCTTTCTATGTTTTTGAAGACTGCTTTAATCCAATATTTGCTCTGAAACCTAGCCTTTCTACTCCACTAGCAGAGAAGCACTTGCCACTACTTCAGCTGAAGGATTCAGCAGGGAGTAAACAGTTAAAGGGGCTACAAACATCTGGCTCAAGCTGTGCCCTTAGTTCCTGTGCCAGCGCAGTGCCCTTGGCTGTGGAATCAGTCACGCCTGCCATGCCATTGCCTTTGAATAATGGAAACGCTGTAGCCAGCATCACAGTGAGCTCTGCAGCTGTAGGGGAAAGTCAGCAAGTGGATGCCTGCCTTCTTTGCAACCCTTGGCATGCTAAAGATCCTCTTGGTTTATGTTTCAAAAAAGGTGCATAGATCTAAAAGCTCTCTGCTACTTGTGACCATATACCATTTATCAAAAACAGGCTTAAAGAAGTCAACAGGCTTGGTGAATATTCTCTGTGTTTTGAGCTTATTTCAGTCTTATTTATTCCAGTGCCCTGATGTTAATTGGCTTTTATAGTACCAACTTAATCTTCATGGTGGTAAGTGCCTTCTGATACAAGGCACATTTGAGTAAATTCATTTGTTATCTCCACAGTTTGTCTCCATGCAATAGTGTTTAATGAGATGTACTTTATGCTTCAGATATCCAGTTCTGTATTCAGGCATGTGAGAGCAATTGACTCCACTGCATTTTTATTGAAGCGTTTGTATAGCTGAGGGAAGTTCGCATGTTGGTATTTTGTTGACGTTGCTGAAAAACCCCGACCACAGACAGCTGCACCTGTGCTGTCTGAAGATTGCACTGATTTAGCGGGTCACAGGCATAAATTGTCCCAGGGTAAGTGTGTCAACATTTGAGATTGAGATTGGCACGGATACAAACTTCCCTAAGCCACTGCACAAACCCAACAGCATACCCCAGACCTTTCAAATGAGGGGAGAAACAGCTAGCCTTGAAGAGATGCTTTTGCTGTATTACTGATCTAGCCAGTTCTTGGTATTTCATGGAGAGGAGGCACAGCAACGTCTTTTGCATGCACTAGGCTTTGTGAGAGCAACTGATTCTAGCAATGCAAAATGCATAGCTTGGCCTGCAGTGCTGGGGTTGCCAAGGGACCAGAGATTTGCATCTTAAGATGCACATTTTGCTTCCCAGATAATTTCATTTTTTTAATCAGCTCTGCCTTACACCTAACTTTAAAATGTTTCAAATGCTGCCAGTGGGTGAGAAGGGGAAACGGATGCTTTCAGATTCTATTGGCAAATTTTCTTGTAATGAAAAGTCTTTCTTGTTTTAAGTCTAAGTGTATATTCTGCATTCACATGTTTGCATGTGTATGAAAGCAAAGGCAGCCATTAATGCCTTGCATCATACTGTATGATATGCATATTGGAATGTACTACATATTGCATGTGACACATGTAATACATAAACCAGACATAATATCAAGATGCAAAATATATAGAATACATTTTATGTATATGTATATATTATGCTTTTCAACCATAAGGCTAAGAATGCTAAAGGCATATACTTTTGTATAGTCAGAATTGACTATAGAACTAGTTGTGAGATGGGATCTGTTTGCATCTTCGTTACCCTGCTTGTTTTTCATTGTCTTGAGATCTGACTCCATGCCTGGAGTGCTTTTATTGTGGCCTCTCCTCATCTGGGCCCTGATCATATGGTAGAAGTTGTTTGTGTAAATCCTAACTGTTGCATTTCTCCAGAGTCCCATTGCCTTCTCAAAGGTTTTTAATGTACAGGGATCTCCCTTGGGGTCAGCGCACAACCATTATATTAAAACCTCTGTTCTCTCTCTCACTGAAGTCAGTAGCAAAATGCCACTTGTCTCGGTTACTGCAGGTCAGTCTGGGAGACACAAGTGTGATATGGTGAGGGCTCTATAGCTGAGAGGAGTTTGCGCGAATACTTAGGTGCCTAATTCCTCTTTGGTTCATTGGGAATGAGGCAAATGTCTGTGAAGGTCTGGGCCTTGGGAGCCATTCTGCATCCCTTGGAACATGTAACCAGCTGGTGGGTAAGTAATCCTGGTGAATAAGTGGGACTGAGGAAGGATCAGCATGGTGGCATCTCTGTTGATTTTGTGTAAAAAGTTGTCTTGGTCATTAAGTTAATTCAGTAAAAAGCTGTTGTTCTTAGTTGTGTTTCAGGGTCACTATAATGAAAACTTTACTGTGAATGCAAGAGAGTGACTTTTCTTCAAATTTTATGTTGCTCTAGCAGATGCACTAGAAACTAGCAAAAGAACCTGCTATTTAAGAGGGATGTTTCAAGGCTGCTGCTGTCTCCTAGCAGAATGTCCATGTTTGGGGTTATTTTATGCCTGAGTGTATCAGCTGATAAAAGTTTCCCCAAAGTAAGATATAAAAAACTCAGGTTAAGCACAGGAGGACGCATGAGACACACTGAGCCTACGTCAGAAAATTCCTGTGCTTGTTTCTTCCCTGGGGCCTGACCCTGTTGCCCCTGCCAGGCAGGAGCGTTCCCTGCTCAGAACAGGTTGTTCTCCTGACCAGCATGACAGATGGCTGGACATGGAGACTGGCAAAAAAAAGATGTGAGGCAAATTACTGGTAGCATAATCCCAATGTGTCTTATAGAGATGCTCTTGTAAAGAGATTTCTTGCTCTCAAGTGAAATTCAGTAGTGAGTTTTTAGCTGGAGCGTTGTCTGCACAGAGGCATGGGCTCGCACATGCATACACAAAACACCGGTGTGAAGAAACTTTGTCGCAAACAGACAGCTTTGTACAGTTTTTTGCAATCCTTGTTTTTCAGTTCTGAAAACCAAGTGCAAATGAAAATGTGTAAAACAGGAGTGGTGTTTGCTCCCTGGGTTTTCTGTGTTTGAGCTAAGAGAAATACAAAAAGCCAACAGAAGCGTGGAAACTGTAAACTAGGGACTTTTCATTTGGACATGTAAATCCTTCTCTAAGAATCTTCTGAAAAGCAAGGCAGTGAAGTCCCAGAGTCATCAATAAAACTATATCTTATAGAACTTCTGGAATTTGACATTTTTATTAAGGAGCCTTTGGACTTTTTTTCAAGTAACTGAAGCGACATAGTGGCACTCGTGTCATTGACTTTACAAAGGACTCATGTTGCCAAATCACAGAGATGCTTTCAAAAATCTTACCTCAAGTTCTCAGCTTTTAACACTCACTCCTGGACGTTTGAAATACAAATCTGTCTGTCTGTCTAGCTATTTCCTTCTGAAGGCAGAGTGCATCTTTGTGAAGCAAAGTAGGCATCTCCAGGGACTTGTTTCCATAACAACCTCCCAGACTGTTTCTCTCTACCCTGTGACTGACTACAAGCAACAGCACTCATCGAATATTTTCAGTTCTCAGATATTAGTACCTTACCTTTACAGCTGTTTTCTTTGCTTACTGAAGATGATCCCATCACCTTATATCATGTACAACTGTCCTATCCAACTCCAGACAGACAGTTATCAGCATTTGAAAGCAGAGAGTGCAAACCAGGAGATGGGAAGGGATTTTATCTGTATATCCTTGCACACAGAGATGTGGGGAGTGTGTGAAGGACAATCCGAGCACTCACAGTCAAGGAGCTGAGGGGCAACTGGCCTGTGAATCCATCATCTGGGTGTGCGGTGACAAGGAATATGAGCTAAAGCATCACATTGAAAAAACAGAAACTCCTCTTTAAATAATCTCACTAGGAAATAGTTTTGCGGTGGAAGAGACTATTGCTCCTTCCTGAACCCTTGGCTGTTCTGTGACAATCAGTTCCCCAAATAATTTTCCCACAGGATGTTTTGCACCAAATCAGGACAGGGCAGAAATCATCTTGTTGGAGGCGGTGAAGGAAGGAAAGGAAGAATTTTACTGAGGACACCTTTTTTTTATCTGCAACTCATCAACCACATAAAAGACTGTAAGCACGAAAGGCATGAAGAGCTGTTTTGTGGTATTTCAAAGTCTACATTACTGGTGGATTCCTGCACCATTCCTCCAAGAAAAAATTCCTATTCTGCTCCTGTTTAGAAATTTGGGATTTTTGAGCAATTTTCTGGTTTGGCCCTCTTCCTTTTGATCCAGCTTTCATTGATAAAAATTCACTGCTACAGCAGCTGTGGGGGTGAGGGTGACTGGACTTGGTGTTCTCTCCTAGGCCCTCTCATTCAGTGTACAGAGATCCCTATGGACATAAAGAAGAATGAGTATAAAGGAAATTCAGGGCAGCAAGAGACAGGGTAAGGACTGAAGTGTCTTCCATACTGTGATGGAAAGAACAGCATGATCCCTAAAAGGAAAGCAACAAACAGCTCCAGCATCTGCTGCTATAGAAGTAGGTAAGGTTTCTTTTTGTTCTCCAAAATTAACGACTAAGAGTTTCTTGCAATTAATGAGGAAGGATTTCCTAATTAAGATTTGCAGCCTAAAGGGAGAATCTGGTTCTAGGTGAAGAAAGATAGATAATTATAAACTACAAAAATATAGTATGAGCCAGATCATAACCATCTGCTGATTCAAGTTGGCAAAACTCCATTTAGTACAACTACCTTGGTTTATATTGAACTCCAACTTCAGTCTTCTGCGTCAAGTCAAAACATATGTAGTATTTGCTAAAATGCTTATTTTTGTTTGTTCTTCTCTTGAGGTCCTGTTTACATCAGGGAAAGATCTGCAGATTACAGCAGGAGTTAACCACAGTTTTCCCAAAAGCTCTCATCTGACTTGAGTCCAAGTAAGTCTACCAAACAGCAAAGTTAAGCTTCTCTTTAAGGTTATATTGACAAAAATAAGAGCAGCAGCGTTTTATTTATTTATTTATTTTTTCTCAATGGTGGAAATGTGCAGATGAATTCACAGAGAAGTTTAAGACTAATTGAGATTCTGCCCTCAGCTGCAGACCTGTAAGCACAAGACAGCTCTATTTACATTGCTGTAACCGAAAGCACAGTCTGTGCTCTTCATCTTTGCTCTTTGGAACTCATGCTTTAGACAAATCCTATTCTGAAGACATTTGTAGCCATATTATCAGCAGGCTCACAGTTGAATCTCTGACTTGCAGTCATCTGCTTTACACATTAAGGAGGGGAGCAGGTGCTTGCAGGACGAAAAGACTTAATCCTCTGAAAAAATGAACAATTGCCAGTGAATGCTGAGTGTCCTTAGCTGCCACCAAAGACAGCTGCTGATGAAATTGCCTGTTAATTACAAGAAGGAGCTCTTCTCATGCAGGGTCAGGTCCTAAATAAGGCAAGACTCTTGTCAGGGAGATAAACCCAGATGAATGTTTTTTGGGGAAAGCAGACAGGGACTGCAGTAAGATTGATTTCCAGTGTAGCTTACGTTGTTAGTACATGT